GTCCTCTGCTTTTGCCTTTTGTGGAGCTCAGTGCCTCCTCTAAGCAATTGTAGAACAAATATCCACTTGGAGGTATGTGCAGTTATTTTCCTGTAGGTATCCTATTAGTTTTAGATGATTGATCTGAAGGAATCAGGATAAGTTCCATCTATCATATTTCCAGGATGTCATTTTCTTCCCTCTCTCAGTTTGATGCTCTAGTACTGATTGTGTGTGTGAGCACAAAAAACTTGCTCTGCATGCCTGTATTGATTAATTTTAATTAGATTACTTTTTGGGGAGCCAATTAGAAGTAAATGAAACATAGATTGTTTGCTTTCTATCATCCTAAAATAGATATAAAAATTGTAACTTGGAAAACCACACATTGTCTTGCTGAGAGCCTCCTAAAACTTGTTTTTACAGCTAGGAATGATGTCAGATTAGCATACTATTATTTTATGAAAACGGTGGCTCCAGCATCCTATATGATGCATCCCTTAGTCCTTAAAAACAGATACTTCAGTGGCTGAAACTGCTATATATTTTCTCAGTTTTTTGTAGGTTAGCTATTGAATATCAAGAATTTTTCACATTCCCTTTTCTGCATTTCAATATTTGATCAATTTATATATTTTTAAAAGGTAAAAAAAGTTTGGTGGTACTGGGGTTTGAACTCAGGGCCTCATGGTTCTACCACTTGAGCCACTTCACCAGCCCATTAATAGGCAATATGTGCCTATGGTTCAAAATTCAAATGTTACAAAAGGAATTAGAGCAACAAATATCCCTTTTACCCCTGGCTACTACCAAAAGCAATTTCACTGGACATTTGTTAAAAATAGCAAGGCAGGTTTCATTCAAGTTGCTGCAGTAGAGAAGAGAGACCAGTAAATACCGTGACATAACTCTGAATACTGCAAGGGTAGCTGGGGGTTTGCAGCCAATAGACAGGGTGAGGGAATGCTTGGGTGGGACCTTACTAAAAGGAACCACCTTGGTATTAGGGACAGGGGATTCTCACCAAACTGACTTGCTAAAACTGGCTGGGCAGGTCAAGGAGGAAATCCTTGTTACCTTTCTGGGGGCAACCACTATTACTGTGATTGTTTTAATAAAACTTAGATTTTTCAATATTAATGTATATTAAGAAAAGTCTCCTTTCAGTCAGATATAAAATAGGCCTGTGCCTGTTCAGGGAGCCTTCGGTTCTGGAAAGTACTGTGTTATTCACTAGCTCCACTTTTTCTGGGTATTAAGTGGGGTTGTTGTGAGCTTCTTCACTGTTGCTGTAAAGATTCACTGATGGGTAGTGTAAGGACCCAGCAGTGCCTGGCACATGGCTGACATTTGGTAATACAATTTGCCCTTCTTCCCTCACTCTGTTACCAGATGGACTCCTCCCCACCCATGCCTTTTCCTGGGCCTCTAATCTGAACCAGAAGTCCAGATGCTCCAGAAGTGTGGGGAGCAGATTGAGAGGCCTATGAGAACTTGACATAAGCACAGCTGTGCCAAATAATCGGCAGGCTAAGTTTGGCATGGCCCCAGCAGCAGAAGAGTGCAAAATGCAGCAAATCTGCTTAAGTTGTTTATTTTCAGAGAACTAGGAACACAGGTTTCTGTTTTTACAATGTCACGCCCCTCCCTTAGAATCTTTGCTCTACCTTGTTTACCACAGGATATAAAAGACTCCTGAAGGAGGACATGAGGTTTTTGATGGGGGATTGATTGGTGGGTTGCTGCTGAGTTATGTTAGAGATTAGAGGAAACATGGCACAGTGCAAGTCAGCACAGAGACTTTAAGAAAGCTAAAGAGAGAACATGGGACAGTGCAAGTCTAAGGACCCAGAGTTATGCTAATGCAGTTTTTAGACGCAGTTGCTGTTGTTTGTCTGCGAGTCTGAGCACCGAGACTTTAAAGGGAACATGGGACAGTGCAAATCTGAGGGCAAAGACTTTAAGAGAGATTATGCTAAAGAAAAGCTAAGAGAAAACATGGGACAGAGCAAGTCTAAGGAAAGAGACTTTAAAGAATAGAAAAAAAAGCAAGATTTTAAAGAAAGACTTTAGAAGTCAGGCTTTAAAAAATAAGAGGAAAGAAGCAGAGTAAAGAGAAGTAAAAAATCAACAAGGTTTGTGCGTTTCCATCCAAGCACCCAGCATACCTGGCCCCAACTTTATGTGTGTTTGTCTTCTATCCTTTGTCCTTTCTGCATTTCCAGTGCCCCCAGTTAGGCCAGTTAGGTCAGGAGAAACAGAAGCGTGAAAAAAAATCTCGATCCACAGAAGTCCCTGGGGCTGTGCTCGATGGATGTCTGTGTCGATCTCTGGTTGGCGGCACCCATATGTTCTGCAGCAATGTCTGCAGTTTAAGCTTTCCTAAGTGATGTTCTGCATGACATACTGGTTGTGTTCACGGTGTGCCTTAAATACATCATTCCGGGAGGTGTCTGAATGAAACATTGCCTACATTCTGTGAGGGCACTGTAGCTAGGATTAGGCTGTGTTGTCACTATCTGAGGGACACATTTCTCTCTCAAATTCCTCTCTGCTTAACAGCGTGGTTAGGCATGGGGAGGAAAAGGATGGGCTCTAGAGTCTGGCCAAGTTAATTTAAAGCCTTGGCTTCCTGGCCTTGCCCTGGACAGTTTTTGTCTGGGTGTTGTGCTGTGCATTGCTAGGGGCTTAGCAGCATTTGCACACTAGCTGTCCATAGCAGTGTCCTGATGATTTCATTGAAAAATAGCTCCAGACGTTGCCAAATGTTCCTGGATTGGGGGGAATCACAGTATCCCTCATCTGAGTGCTACTTTGAGCCCACCTCAGAGCTACTAGTTTTATTCAAGTGTAGGTGGTCACTGGGAAATTCTGCCTCATTTCAATGAGAAAGACAGAGAGAGAGAGAGAGAGAGAGAGAGAGAGAGAGAGAGAGAGAGAGAGACACATGTGTGAGGGGCATGACAGGCTTTGACTCTTGGCCCCAGCCATACCATCTCTTTCTTCACTTGTACTCACTCCTAGTCTCCTCTAACCAAAAAAACCCAAAACACCCCCGCACACACACATGAAAACTGTCTTCATAAATGACTTTTACTTCTTTATCATTTTTCTTGACAGTAATTCTGGGCAATGTGCATATAACATGAAGGCAAGCATAACGTTCAGAAGTCATCAAAGATATTGTCCTCATTTTCTTAAACCATTAAAATATTTTCATTTATAAAAATTAATCTAAATATAAATATTAACACTAAAGATCAAAATCACTTGATGACAAAATAATTCTTCTGGAACTATAACATATGCTTATGGTTTTTAATAGTAAATTAAATCTTTGCACTTATTTGGCACAAGGAAACCTTTATAAAAATTCAATGCCATAGAGCAGGCTTTTTTTTTTTTTTTGCAAGGCTTACACAGTACACATTTTTGTCAAAAGAAAACTGAGTATTTTAACACTGTAACACAACAATAGTTGCTTTTCATGCCTCTTAAAGAAAACGTTCTATTTGGAAGTCAGATCTTTTTTGTTGTGTTTTTAAAATTTGTTTTGTTTTGAATCACACCAACTGAACAAGAAGCCAAAGATGTACTGATTTGAAAGGAGTCATTTCCGTTGGATAACACATACACAGCATCAGCAAGGAGTATTACTGGAAGATACGTAGACCCCCCATTGGGAGTGGATCCTAACACAGGAATCAGCAGCAAACCAGGTCTGGAAGTGCACAAGGCAGCAAAAGAACACAGAGGTTGAAAACAACACAGTTAGGCATCTGTGAGGCATCACAGGTACGGCTTTGGCAAGTTAATCTCTCTGGCCTTCTCTCTCTCTTCCGGAAAGTGGGTATGCCTAGTGACTAGGGTTGCGTAAGGGTTAAAATGAGAAGAGTGCCTCCCTCAGAGCAGATGGCTTATAAGCACTAATCACCTTATTCCCTAGTCTCCCTCCCTTGCCTTTTTCCTCCTATTTGGAATACACCAGGAGAAAGTGTTTTTAAAATGTTGCTAGTGCCCAATTGAGTGATATTCCAGTTCTACTTGCTTATAAAACTACACTCTAAATCTCATGCACTTGAGTCAAGTCCAAACAGACCATAAACATGGAGTCAGTGTCAACTCTTGGGTCACAGTTTGTCCTGATTTTCTCATACTTTTAAGTTTTCTAAGGTAATTTCCTAACTATTCTTATCTTTAAGGTAATTTTGTTATTTTGCTGAATATTTACAGGGCAATAAACTTTGGTGGCCAAAAATTTTCTCATCTGATATTTTGCAATAATTCTTTTACTTAAACTTCATTTAGATGGAGTCACTGCTAAACCACATCACATTGATTCTGGATAGTGCCCTAAAACTGAGCAAATGGCAGCCTTTTTCTCAAGCCCCTGTCCCCTTCAGAGTGAGGACACTTTTAGTAAGTCTATGCCAGAACCCCAAATCCTTGATGAGTCAGTGTTAGATAGACCCTGCATGGGATGTGTGAGTCGGAGCTTGCTGTTCTGTGGCCTGTGATTGCAAAGCAAAGGGAATGACTGGTAATGTGTGGTCTAGAAGCTCAGGAGGGAGGAGGCGAACCACAGTGGAGCTGTCCCCAAGTTAGACTGTCCCTAATGTTCACTACAGGGGTACTTTCACTTTTCCCTTAGCATTTGTAAGACAAAGATGCTTGTGAGGCATTAATAAACACTGATGATGAATCAAGAGTTAATCCCCACCTTCCTCCCTCCACACCCCCAACAATTGGACAAACTGTTGGCATGGAATTCCAGTTGAATCAAAGGGTTTTTAAAAAAAGAGAAAGATCTTAAAGACAATACACAGCAGCAAGGCAAACAGGGGAAGGATGTATCTTTTGAACATGGAGCTCTGCAGTTGGAAGCCAGCGTCTGGGTTTTCTGTCTTGGATTCCCCTGGGAGCCTAAGGCAGAGAGGGGCAAGACCGTAGTGCTGAAGTCTGAGGCTGCTTTCTGGGTGAGGTATCAGGACAGCCCTGTGCAGTGGTGCACTGTGGCCTCCCCCGAGCCCTCTCCTCAGGGGGAAATCCCTACAGTACTCGATGGCTGTTGGGTCAAGGCACTGTCGTGTACGGCCGGAGGCAGTGGGTCACTGGCAGTGGAGCTCCATGGCATTAGTCCATCACAGCACACTCTGGAGCGGGCTCCTGAGTGAGAGATTAAGTTGTCAATGTGGTCACAAAACATGGTTTTACACTTTTTATGTTTTGGAACTTATTGAGGTTTTCTTTGTGAGCTGGTATAAAATCGATTTTTTATAAATGGTCCATTAATTCTTAGAAAGTAAGTAATTTGTAAAGTATGAAGTTAGATAAGCATTTTTTAAGTGGGTCTAGGGTTTAAAGTCTAGATAAACATCTTAATCAAAGCTTAATAATTACACCATTCAACTCTCTAGTTGGTATTTATTTCTGGTATAGTTGGGTTGCTAAAGGCTGGTAAGGGAGTTTTAAAGTCACTGAGCATCACACAGCAAACTGGGTTTCTCTATAGTGTGCCAACTCAAGACAGGCTCATGAATTGTCTTCTTAATCCAAATTCCTCCTTTTCTCTGAATGCTTCTTGTGTGGAGTCTACTCTATCTGAAAGTAGTACTTCTGTCCTTTTTAGGGTTTATTTCTTTAATGCATATTGTCTATCCTTTTCTTTTTAACCCCCCTGTGTACCTTTAAGAAAATTTATTTCATTAAAAATAATCTGTTGAAGCTAACTATACATAAAATAAAGGTAACCATTTTAAAGTGAACAATCTAAGGACAGTTAGCACATTCACAAGGTTGTAAGCCATTATCTTTATCTAGTTTCAAAACATTTCCATCATTCCAGAGCACATTCCTCTCCTTACCCACTAAGCAGTTGCTTCCCCTTGCCCATCCCCATGCATCTATGGTCTGTCTCTATGAAAGGAAACTTATTTTTAACGATCTTACTTACAAACTATTCCTTCCCTGACCCTACTGGTCTGCCCATTTAGTGTGATGTCTTCTTTCTAGCTCTTTGAAATAATGTAATGACCACGAGCAAGGTGATGGACTTTGAAAGGACAGGGTAATGGCTGGCCAGTGAAGAAAAGGCTGTGCTCTTTGCCATATGGTACCCGAGAGGTAATGTGTAATTCAAAAAGATGTGGCCATCATTACGCCATTACCTGGTGCTTCTGTGTCATGAAGTAGACAATGAGAAGGAGGAAGAGGAAGAGGAAGGGAGAGGCAGGTGATGCATAAAAGGCAAGAGTAAGTCTGCCCTCAGCATAGCAGGTATTACTAGGGCATTTAGCATCAGGGCATTTGCCTGATGCTGTTATCTTTTAAGTCCTGATGTCTATATTGCTTTTTAAGCAAATGATCCGTCATTTCTTTCTATGTTGTCTCTAGAGTTTGTGCAAGTTATCTACTGCCCTGTCCTTGACCCCATTTAGGGATGACTGTGGACTCTTTTTAGGAAAATGGCAATCATGGCTAACAACAAATTTAAGAGTAAATATGGATAAAAACCAATAAAAACTCCTACACCTCAACCAGATCTTACATACCAATGCCCATATGTTTATGTCTGTGTGTGTGTTTTTTAAATTGTTTTTCTTTTATTCATGTGTGCATACAATGTTTGAGTCATTTCTCCCCCTTCCCCCCACCTCCTCCCTTCTCCCCCATTACCCCCTCGCTACCAGGCAGAAACTATTTTGCCCTTATCTCTGATTTTGTTGAAGAGAGAGTATAAGCAATAATAGGAAGGAACAAGGGTTTTTGCTAGTTGAGATAAGGATAGCTATACAGGGAGTTGACTTGCATTGCTTTCCTGTACATGTGTGTTACCTTCTAAATTAATTCTTAATTCGATACCCATATTTTTATACCTCGTATATGAAGCAGGTTCCTACAAGGAGCTGGGAATATAGTTGAGACGATATACTCACATACTAAAGAGGCAGGATGTCTTTCACCTCTCAGACAACTTTCTGCCTCGCAAATTCAAAATAGACTATGACACCATGCAGGAAGGATGTTTTTGGGGCTCTGTTGGGGGAGGGCTACAGAAGGTTACAGAATAGAAATACCATCCAGAGTGAGAGTGATAGGCATTAAGGCAGAGATGATGTTTACCATCAAGTCCTTGGTGGTGCTCTTCCTGTTTGTAGGCCTGTTTGTTGAGGAGCCTTGGAGAATGAAGTTGCGGTTAAATGTTTTAATGGTGGTCACTGAAGATGTCTCTGTTTTTTCAGCTAAAAAGAAACAAATGGGAATATGTAGTACTCAGAAGATGGAAAAACAAGGTGGTAGGATTGCCCAGATGTTTGCTCCTCACTTGGCATCTCATTCCTGTATGTGAGCCTGACTGTAGACTGTGACCAAATAATTCAAGGAATCATTGTTGGCTTTCTGGGAAAAGGTAATGCAGAGATAATCTAATACAGTCCATAAATTCTTATTTGCAGCCCTAAAATATGCATTTTTTTGTAAGTTTGGGGTCCAAATCATCTGATTGCAAAACCTGACCTGAATTAATATGTAGTTACTTAAAATCCTTGCTGAAAGCATGAATGTTTTCATGCTTTGCTTGCAAGGATATTTGGGTTTGATTATCAGTTGCTGGAGTTAGACACACACAGTTCATCGTACCATATTATCTTTCTAATGGCCAATATATTATGGAGCACACATGGACCTAAGGTTACAGATAAAGGACTGTGGAACTATGATCACTTTTAACTGTATGAGTAGGGTTTTGAAGAATATTTAACTTAATAAATGTTTATTGCTGAGTGCTGAGCCCAACGCTCAAAACACATCTTGTGAGTTTCTACTTCTGACTTGTAAATCTAGATTTCTAATTTGGCATCATCGCTGTGTGGCTCTGAATTGAAAGAAACTGTTGAAAATGCCTGCTGGGTAATGGTGACCTGTCTGGCATTGCTGCAATCCCTCCCAGGTTGGGCATTATGGCAGAAGCCTCTGGCGTCCTGTCCATTCTCCCTGATAGTCACCATTCCAGCACATTCCAACAGTGTCCTATTGCAAGAGTCACCACTCTCTTGGCTCATTCATGGGGCAAGGTCAGAAGTGCCAGGTAGTCAGTGCCCCAGAAGTAACCCTCACCTAGTGATGGATGGATGTTGAAGGTCAAATACTCCATCTTCCTACCCTTTGGGCAGGAAACTCAGAGGTGCAGTCAACACTGTCTCCCACAGGTCCCCAGGAAGATTTAACTTCATTTTCCCAAAGAAGTCACCTACTAATTAGAGTACCCCGAATCATTTCCTCCCTACCAGTGCTTCCTGGAATCACTTCACAAATAAACTACTTGCATGCCTGTCCTTGTCCTGGGGCTTGATTCTGGGGACACAAGTGATGATCAATATGAACAGTTGTGGGTGAGAACTCCCTACTGTGCCTGGCCCTCAAACTCAGATCTCTGACTTATTTCAAGTCAGTGATTTAGGCTCAGTTGTTTGGCAGCTTTGTGGTTTAATTGGAGCGTACCTTTCACTGGCGGAGCAGGCAGTTTTCTCCTCTGCTGCCTTGACGTGTCTATAGTTTGTACCTACAAACACAACACAGCCATTAACACACCTTTGAAGCCAAAGATACTTTATCTTTTGACCTTCTAGGTCATGCAATATTCCAACAGAGGGAGTGAGAGATAAACACACCTGACTCCTTTGCTTCTGATCCCGTTTTCTGGTGAGGCGCACACATGGCGCGATGTTTAAGCCCGCCATGGTCAGGGCTGAAATCCGGCTCTCGATGTCAGAAATCTTAATGCAGCAGAAAGACAGGGTCAGTAGGGAGAAAACAGAAAGAGAGAATCTTTGTTAAAAGTGTTAGGAGTTTATAAAGAACAGAGCTGTTTTGATGTATGCTCGTTCATTCTTTTCAACTTTTGTTCTCTAGTGCTCTAGGGAAAAGATAAAACACAGTTTCTCTTTATAAATTTAAAGTTCTATTTTGGTAACTCAGAGTTTGCCTTGATAACTGGGAGCCTAGGAGTACCGTGGGAACTCTGACCCAAGGCCACCTAGGTCAGCATGGTGGTGGTGGTGGAGGGGAAGGCTTCTGCTATGGTTTGGGTATGGTTTGAGTGTGTCCCTAAAGGTGCTAGAGGATTGGTCCTCAGGGAAGTGGTGCTGAGATGGTGGAAACTTCAAAAGGTTGGGGCCTAGTGGAACATGGTTAGGTCATTGGGGGTGCTGCCCTTGGAAGTGATTAACAAGTTCTCATGGTTCTCCAGTTATTTCCCATAAGAGTAAATTGTTATAAAAAAAAAAAAAAGAGAGAGAGAGGAAACTTGGCCCCTGAATTCATCTGGCTTCTTGTCATGCCATGTGTTTTAGTCAGTTTTCATCACTATAACGAAATACTGAAGGCAGACTAACTCTACGAAGAACAGAGGTTTATTTAGCTCACAGTTCTGGAGTTTCAAAGGCATGATGCTAGCCTCAGTCCACCATGGTGACAGTCCTCTTGGTTATGTCACATCATGGTGGATGGCAAATGATGTCACAAGAAAAGAGCAGTACTGCTGAACATGGTGGTACACACCAGTAATCCCAGAACTAAGAGTCTAAGGCAGGACCCTGAGTTTGAGGCCAGCCTGGGCTATGTAGAGAGATCCTCTCTCAACCCTCCCTCCAACACCCCCCTACAAAACAATAGGTCATTACTCTGTGTCAGGTACCATGCTAAGGACTCAAAATACATGAACCCGTCATGCTTTAGAATCACACTGGGAAGTAATTGCTTTTCTTTGGATTTCACAGGTGGAGAAATGGTGGCTCAGAGGGTAAGTGGCACACCTCTCAGTGGTCTGGGGCAGAGCTCAGAATGAATGCCAATGCCTGTGCTCTTGTCACATTGCACCTTCTCTGAGCATGTTTAACATCCTGGCCGGGGCACTGGAAGAAGCACGAAAGGCTAGAAGAGCGGAAGGGAGGGGTGGGGGCTGCAGCCATCCTGCAGGGATGCTGTAGACCGAGTGGTCCTAGAACACTGAACAACCTGACAGCAGGCCTGCAGCCAGACTCCTTGGATTCCCTAACACCTCTGTGAGTCTGTGTTGCTCAGTACAAATCCTAAACCTATCATTTACTGAGTGTTTCTTTGGACAAAACCTACTGAGACAGGCGCCAAGGAGGTGCATGGAGAAGGCTTGGAATTCTTTCTCCATTCCCAAGAGGGGACAGGCTCATTAGAAAAGTAGATGGGTGGAAGCCAAGTCTGGCAGTTGGTGAAAGAATGCAACGTAAGCGTTCCAGGAGCAGCCCTGAAATCCACAGTATTCGTTCTGCCAATCTGTGATCATAGGAGTTTTTTTATTGGGAGGGTGGTGGTATTAGATATTGAACTCATGTCCTCTTGCTTGCTAGGTAAGTGCTATACCACTTGAGCAACACCCCTAGCACTTTTTGCTTTATTTTGTTTATTTTTTAGATAGGGTCTGGTGCTTTTGCCAGGGCCAGCCTCAGACTGTGATCCTCCTACCTCTGCCTCTCAAGTAGTTGAGATTACAAGCATATACTACCATGCTATGCTTGTTTTTAAGCTAGGGTCTCACTAACTTTTGCCTGGGCTGGCCTTTTGAACCTTGATTGTTCTATCTCTGCTTCCTAAGTAGGTGGAATTACAGGCATGCACCATCATGCCTACATGGTATTATACATTTTTGGTACTACTGTGAGTGAGACTGTTTTCCCTATTTCTTTCTCAGCATAAAAAAAGCTACTGATTTTTGCATGTTGAGTTTGTATCATGCTACTTTGCTGTAAGTGTTTATCAGAGCTAAGACTTTTTTGGTGGAATCTTTAGGGTCTTTTAAGTATAGAATCACAGCATCTGCAAACTAAGGATAATTTGGCTTCTTCCTTTCCTGTTTGCCTCATTCCTCTGGCTAACACTTCAAGCACTATATTGAGTAAGAGTGGAGACAGTGAATATTCTTGTTTCTGACTTTAGAGGAAATGCTTTCAGTTTTTCCCCATTTAGGACAATTTTGGCTGTAGGTTTGCCATCTAGCTTTTAATTATGTTGTTTCTTCTTTTCTTGGTTTCTTCAGAGCTTCAATCATGAAGTGATGTTGAATTTTGTCAAAGGTCTTTTCTACATCAACTGAGATGATCCTTGATTTTGTTTAGGTGGTGTAATATATTCATTAATTTGCAAATGTTGAATCATCCTTATGTCTCTGGAGTGAAACAAACTTGAACATGGTATATGATCTTAATGTATTATTGAATTTTGTTTAAGAGTGTTTTATTGAGGATTTTTTTTTCATTTTTCTTTTATTATTCATATGTGCATACAAGGCTTGGTTCATTTCTCCCCCCTGCCCCCACCCCCTCCCTTACCACCCACTCCACCCCCTCCCGCTCCCCCCCCTCAATACCCAGCAGAAACTATTTTGCCCTTATCTCTAATTTTGTTGTAGAGAGAGTATAAGCAATAATAGGAAGGAACAAGGGGTTTTGCTGGTTGAGATAGGGATAGCTATACAGGGCGTTGACTCACATTGATTTTTGTGTCTGTGTTCATCAAGGAAATTGGTCTACTATTACAGGAATGGGGGATGGGGGATAAAGGAGAATGATGGAGGGGGTGAATTCAACTATGATATACTATAAAAATTTTGTAAATGTCATCATGTACCTGCAGTACAGTAATCAAAAAAGGAAATTGGTCTGTAATTTTCTTTTTTGTGTGTCATTCCCCAGGTATCAGGGTAATACTGGCTTCATAGAATGGGATTGGTAGCATCCCTTTCCTTTCTACTTTATGAAATCATTTGAGGAGCACTGGTGTTAGTTCTTCTTTAAAGGTCTGGTAGAATTCAGCAGTGAATCCATCCAATCCAGGGCTTTCTTTTTGGGAGACTCTTTATTACTACTTCAGTTTTGTTGCTTGTTATAGATCTGTTTACGTTGTTTATGTCTTCTTGGTTCAGTTTTGATAGGTTATATATGTGCAAAAATATATCCATTTCTTCTGGATTTCCCAACTGATTGGAATATAAATTTTCAAAATATTCTCTGATGATCTCTTGTTTCATTGGTATCTGCTGTAAAATCCCCCTTTTCATCTCTAATTTAATTCATTTGGGTGTTTTCCCTATATCTTTTGGTTAGTCTGTCTAAGGGTTTGTCAATCTTGTTTATATTTTCAGAGAACCAGCTCTGTTTCATTGATTCTTTGCACTGGTCTTTTGTCCTGCAAGTAGTTTTGATAGAGGACTTTGCTCAGGGGCCATAGGAGACAAGGTCAATGGGAAAGCTACCTGATGAGTTGATTTTCTGACTGTCAGCTGTCTCTAATAAGAAAGGGTCAACACTTTCAAGGTTTAGTCTATTGGGAAAAGGAAAAAGAAAGAAAAAGGAGGCTAATAAGGTCTCCTTTATCTGTCTATCTGTCTGTCCTATCTATCTATCTATCTATCTATCTATCTATCTATCTATCTATCTATCTCAGCTCCTAAGATTGAATTCCCAATGATCCAATACTTGCTAGAAGGGGATAACCAATTCAGTTCAGAGTTTCCTGGGAGTCAAAGCAAGGAGTTCTGTAAAAGACTTTATTTCCACAAGATAAAGAATAATTACTCAAATTAGCAGTTTTTCCCAATACTAAAAGTTAAAAAAGACTTTCCTCAGGAATGCTCATAGAGATGGTCTTGCATGATGCAGTGGACACCACCTCCCCATTACCCTGTAATCCTCTGCAGCACCGCAGCACCAGGCAAAGGCATCCCATTCCAAAGGTGAGCTTTAGGTCACAGCATCCTTGGAATCTGGCTTAATCCAACAGTACAATTTAGGATGTCTGCCCTCCTTCGGGGGACCTTCCTACCATCCTGTAGGACACTCTCAGAGATCTGTGAGACTAGACTTTTTCTTTTTTTTTCTGGTGCTGGGATGGAATCCAGGGCGTCAGGCTTGCTAGGTCAGTTCTCTACTACTGAGCTACTTCCCCAGCCCAAGACTAGATTTTGGATGAGAAGAAACAATAGGCTTTCTTTTCTGCCAGCAAGTGGCAGTGTGGGAAGAGTCTCTGTACTACTGACTGGCCCAAGGTGAGTCAGTCCACGAAGTTGAAGGCGGGGTCAACAAATTCCCATGCAAATTAGGGATCTTCTCCAGTGCATATGCACACATGCTGGATGACAGCATTTCTCAGGCTAGCACAGCACCATGGCTAAGAATGTGGGCTGTGAGCTCGGAAAGACAGGCTAAAATCCTGGATTTAACGCTTTCTAATTGACTGTGGGCAAGTGGCCTAACCCTTTGGAGCCTCAGTTTTTCCAGACAAATAAAAGGTAAATAATATCAGCAGCTACCTCCTGGGGTTGCCGAAAAGATTAAATACAATAATGAAGTAAAGCATTCCAGTACAACTGGTACAAAGCAAGGCTCCCGAACACTATCATCAACATTACTACCTATGATATTAAAATGACTAAGTTAATAGGTACATCTGAATACACAGAAAATGGACATTCAGGACTTCATGATTTTCTGCTATAAAATATGGCTCCAATAATTTAAGTCTAGAAAAAAACTGGAAGTGAAGATAACTAATTATCCAATAAACCCTTCCCAAATACTCATAAATAATATTACTTTTGGCTAAACCATTAAAGGAGTATTTGTTCAGCAATATACCAAAAAACAACAAATTATTTGATTCTACTTTAAATAACTTTGACAATAAATTAATCAAATCTTGGGTGACATATAGAAAATAATTTTTTTTAGGAGAGTTTCTTTTCAGCTTTCTCTTTTTGTGGTACTCATGCTTGCCAGGCAAGTGCTATACTAGCTTTTCAGTCATTCTTGCTGATTATAAAGTCCACAGAACCATCTATCTAGTAAGACCATTCCTAGTTCATAGCACCAGCCCATCCACAGTGTGAAGAATCAGAGCCTTTTTATTCTCAAGAGGGTTAATGATGCCAAAAGCAGTTGTGACTTTGGGCTATTTAATGTGTGTGTGTGTGTGTGTGTGTGTGTGTGTGTGTGTGTGTGTGTGTGTGTGTATGAGATTGTCACCTTCCCTATCTAGTACTGGGCTCTGTTGACCATAGTTCTCCCAAGTTTTAAGATGCAAAGTCTAAAAAATTATATTGAACCAGGAGTCAGAGCTGAGCTTGTGCTGCAGAGAACATGTATCACCTAAACTTGAGTGATAGAAGGGTTCCTTTTAGAGATAAAATGGCAAGGGTTCCCAAGAATATGTCCATATGTCTCAGTTTGAGAATAATCTATGATTGGTTCTGATTCGTGGAGTCAATGGCCAAGGCAATATCCACGACAGTTGCCAACAGGTATCTTTACAAAGCCACAGAGACTATGATGATAATTCTGAAGCAGCTGGCTCTGAATCCTGCCTGCTCCTCCTGCAAACATGGGACTGAGAAGTCTGTCCTCCCATGTCACTCCTTTCTCCAACTCTGCTTTTGTCAAGTGTCAGTCAGGCAGTGTGTCAGCACCGCAGTTACTCTGGAAAGCTAGATGGCCACCATCCTGCCATCTTTTGTCCGTGGAGGGGAAAACTGGCAGTAAGTTATCAGTCAAGCTTCCACAGCAGGGAGCCTCCACAGCAGGGAGCCCTTGACATGGTCAGGTAACTTGTTACAGAGGACACTAGCATGAAGTTTTACAGGGAAGTCTGATATATCATCACAGCTATAATTTGGGAAGGAAGAGAGCTGCGCTTTAAAAAAAATGGGGGGATTTTGTGGCCTCCTGTACTATGGAGGGACACTGGAAATGATGGGAACTGGTAGACTCTGTGACTTTGGAATGACTCTTGTGGCAGATGGGGTCCCCTTGTCTGTCCTGAGCAGGGAGGAGAGTTCTCACCTGGAGCTCAGCATGGTGCACCTGGGCTGCAGCTGCAGCCACCTGGTCCTCTAGATCTGCCAACTCGGTTTCATCGGTGCCACTGTGGATGCAGCGGGCAGCATCTTCGAGCTCAGTCAGCTGGCCCTCCAGTCCATACACAGTGCCTGCTGCCAGATACACCTGTAGGAAGAGCACAGCCATTCAGCTTAGGCCTGCAGATCTGGGACTGGCGAGGTTCTCTTGGGAGACCCTGGTAATTCAGGGAGCAAGAGAGAACTGGGCTCAACATTAGGGGAACGAGATCAGAACCCCCATTTATAAACATTCTTCACTCTTAAATGGTAGTGTGAGGTCTTGCCACCTCTGACACTACCAACCACACCTTTTCTCTCCTCCAGTTTTCCTGTAAGGAAAAGCAGTTTGTAAGGTGCTTTTGACAAAACAGTACAAAATACTTAACATTAGCAATGTAAACTGTGAGTTGTCTGGTGACTCATAAAACTAATGTCAAGAAGAAACTAAGTGAAAAATTCATAATGGAATTTTCCTCAGTAAAATTTTTGTTTGGTATTTTGGAATTTAGAAAAATTCAGAAAATGTGAAGGGGGTGAAATTAATTGAAAATAATTACAAATTTTGAGAAAATCCACTTCCAATGAATGATCTGCTTGTTTGAAACGGGTTCAGGGGTTAAAATGAACTTCAAATTTATAGTAGAAAAATTCTTTATTTCTCAGTAAATGGAAAAATGGTAAGAGAAACATATCAAATCTATTTTGTCTGTCATTTGGATAATTTTGTGAGTTATTGAAAATTAGAAAGCAAGTCCTATAAAGGGAGTAAATTGAAATAAAAGACATTTTGATGTCTGAGTTTATGAGGTGGTTTTCACATTGGAATCACTCAAATTAAAGGATGCCAGCTAGGGGGAATGTGACAAGTGCTTCCTTAGCCTAATCAGTAGCATGGTGAAACCACCCACAACACAGGAGCGGGGTGGACCTAAAGAAGACCAGTACTTAAGAAGAGAGGCTCCTGAGGGTTCATCAACATGTAGAAAACACCAAACATGTAACCACAGCAATTTAGAGCTGGTCTGAAGAAGCTCTCAGCCAGGACACGAACAGTTCCTTTAACTCGAGTTAAAAATACAACCAACCTGAGCATAAGCCAAGAGCTGTGCACATGTCATGTGCACCCTTTGCACCTAGTGATCTGAGAACTGGTGAGGAGGGAAAGAACCCAGACACGTTCCTATTCTGCCAGCTCCTTGGCACGACTCACTCATCTGAGTTGAAACTGGCAATTTTACAAAATACTTCAAAGTGGAGCACAGGCGGGCACAGGTTGGATAAAGGTAAATTTGCCTTGTCTTGTCACTAGGTGTCATTCCCTGGCAATGGAATGCAGGGACCAACACACAAGTGTCCCTTCTAATGAACTGCCAGTCACACAGGGGCCACAAGTCAGATGTCTGTGGGCAGTAGCCAGCTTCAGCTTACCCTTTGTTTTATATATCTCTATCCTATGCCACTTATCAGAGAAATTCTGTTTCTAAAAGAGCTTTGCAACTTCATATAGCCACTAATTCTTTGTTTTCAAAACAAGAAAGGGTCTTTATTGTTTGTTAAATGAATATTTCAAAAGTATCTGAGTGGAGAAATTCTTCAAAATGTGTCTCTTTGAAGGCAAAAAACTTCCCTTGGGAGGAGAAGAAAAACTAAGTGTGGGGGAGGGGGCGGAGGAAGAAAGAGAGTGGGGTGGAGAGGAGAAAGGAAGCCAGCTTGGAGTTTACTATATTTTAAAATAGTTTTGCTACATAAAAAAAATCTAAATTTATTTTAATAAATTTAAAATATAAACTTAGTTTTTAAAGTGAAACAAACACATTTTCAACAAGGTCATCCCCCCCCCATATGAAAATATGGGGGTCCTTGGTCAGGTCCTTGGTCAGGTCAGGGCATTCCTCTTTTACCCTAAAAGCCTGCTTTTCTGGCTCCAGGACAAGGGGAGATTCTGTGGTTGTCACTGACCCCAGCTCAATAGGAGCTTACAGTAAAGTGATGATACTTGAAAGACTGAATGATTGTGGTGGTGGCAATGGCGGTATGGTGTCAATATATATTTGCTAAGCTGAGGGTTTTCTAGGACTTATTTAATGCTCATGGCAACCCTCAAGGTAGGTACCACTATAATCGCTATGCTGTGGATGAGAACATTTTATGTTCTAGGAAGGCTCTGTGACTTCCCTGGGTCTCACAGCCAGGAAGAGGTAGAGCGTAAGGGAGCTCAGAGAGTTGATGCCCACTCTCCCTGTCTTGTTGTGACTCTTAATCTCGGCTGGAATGTTATCAAGTCTTACATTTCAAATTTTAGCATAAAGGTACTAGAGTTACCGTGATATATAAGGATTTAATACTGACTTTGTTGCTAGTTTAAAATGACAAAAGTTAGCATGCCGTATGATGAAAATGTTATCCTGCCTTTATAAAAAATAACTCGTTTGCAAAACATTCACCTGGAATCACTTGCTTGTTAAGATCCATTTTTGGTGAGAACTGTGGTTATCTTGTCCGAGTAATCTATGACCTTTAGTCACTGATGCTGATGACCCCAGTGCCTGGCTCCTAGTTCCCTTTCTCCAAATGACTCAAGAGATGAGAACAGATGTTTCATGAAGGAAGGACCTTGTGGCCAAACCCACTGAGAGAAAGAGCACTAAACAGATTTCTTTATTGCGGGATTTCTCAGTCTTTAACGTGCTATGATGTATCTTAATTTTCATAGAACTATGCGAACTTGCTAGACTTATTTGATCCCAGAGAATCCTGTTGGACTTGGCTTCCACAAAATATATTTCTGGGGACTAAGTTAGTAACTGATAGTATTTTTCTCACTCTGAGGGTGGAGAGCCACCTTAGAGAATAACCATGGCACTCCCGTAAATTCTCGTGCTACTTCCTCTCTGGTGCTATGGGGCTTATGAGGTTCTTGAGAAGGGACCAATATTCTCTGCTGTGTCCTGGATTCCGTGCCAGAGCTGAGCTCCAATGGGACAGTTCCACTGTGTCTGCTGCCATTGATTGTATACTATATGGGCGATATGTACTATTTGTTGTATTCCACTTGGAAATTGGGCCCACCCTCCACCGCCTTTGGGACTGGGGATTATGGCATATCTCAAGTTGCCTTTGTCATGTAGCAAAAATGAGATGAGGCAGGTCCTCAGATGGGGGTCAGACTTAGAGAGAGCTGACTCATCCCTCCCACTCATACCTCTGTAAATCTACCAGGTGGCTCTTCCTACTAGTCACACCACAAGTCTGAGAGGGGTCGTGCTAGTTGCTCTCTGCTGATTTCCTAGGTCCATTTTTATCCTTCTCTGTCCACTTTAGATTATTCCCTGTTTGTTTGGCCTATAAGAACTTCATGATCAGGGCTGTTTGGGATGGGTTTGGTTAATGGGAGACAGTAACAGGAGAGTAAAGGCAAGAGTAGAAAGAAGAGCATTTCTTATCCTACTCTTTCCCTGGGGGGGTATGAGGTGATTCCACCTTCCACTGGGGGCACTCTTCCAGGCTTCAGTTCTCCATGGGCTCTGGTTACACTGCTGGTGTGGTAGGCTTCCTGTATTCCTACTCTCCTGGCTCTTTGGCATCCCATAATTTTGCCCACATCTCAGTTAATACTCCCTTCATGAAATTCTCCTCTTCCAGCCAGATCCCAACAGGCACAACAGGCCTCTTCGCAACGGAATTTAGAATACCTAGAGCTCCAGCTGTGACCTGAGCCCGTGGTTGCTCCTGGCTTTCGGGAGATAGGGTTGACTTCACAGTGCTAACACCAAGCAGCAAGCGACAAGTGTCAACAATTAGAAAGACACTGGGGGATTCTAAAGTTCCTGGGCCCTCCCCTACTTAAGTGGGTTAACAAGCTGTTTATGAAAACAGGAGACTGGAAATATGAGTGTGGTATTTGTTTTATCTTATGTAGCTCGGGAAGCCTCAGAAGTATTTTCAAAGGTGAACATTTTATCTCTTTTATCTCAGAGTCCTGGCACGTGGCAGCCAATGTTCAGGAGAGAATAGTGTGGCTATTTCTATTTCTGACAGTCCCTGGCTCCCCAGCACAAAGGCAAATGGGCGCTAAGGAACGAAGGAGCGCTTTTCACAATGGAGACCAACAAAAGCCACGATTTAATTTTAATTATATCAGTGGCACCAGAGGCCAGTTTAAGAACCAGCCCTGGCCTTCCCCTGCTGCTCAGTTGAATTCCATCCTGGAGCCAGCTGAGCCAGCAATGTACCCACGGCTCTGTGATCTGCTGAATTAAAGAGATGAAGGAACAAGTTATTCCTGCTCCAACTCAAACACTCATAGAATTCAAAGGAACATAGATGGAGTTTCTTCTGAGGTAAAATTTGAAAAGCTGGAGATGGGATGGACGAAACAGGAGATTAACTCTTTGGGAACAGGCAAGGCCCAGAATGGAGCAGCAGGTCCAGACCAGGACTTGTAGCCATGAGTCCCCCACTGGAGCTTCTGACATATTGAATCAGTGGGTATGTGTTTTGAATTGAAAGTGTTAATGAATCCCCCTTCAAAAAAAAAAAAAACCCACAATGCATAATAAAAAGTGGGGAAACTCACACATGCATTTTTTCAACATGCTCCTTGGAGAGAAAAAGGCATTCTGGGAAAAACATTTATTACGGTGTCTCAAATGCAGGGTTGACTCTGCTGGTCTGGAAAGATGGATATCAGCTTTGTAGGCAGAAACACACGGACCAGTAATAGTGTGTACACCCTGAGTAGCTGATGTTCAAATCTCTCATCATTAGACAATTGCTATTGAAATGCTCGAATAACTGGTGATATTTGCATGCAAGAATCTCTTACTTTCTTTCTCTTCTTACAGGTAGGTAGGAGAATAGAAAAATCCATTACGAGCAGATCCATCTGTTATACCAACCAAACACATTCCAAACTCAAGGGCAAGAAGAGCCTTCTGAACTCCCAGGTCTGCAATCACACCCATATCCCTCCCAGCCAGACTCTCTCGCTTGGGCATCAAGAAATTTTTCTTTCTTGACAGTAAGGAGAAAATTATGGAATTCTTTAACATAATTAACTGTACTGCAAATTCCTTTTAGGAGTATAAACTACATGCAATTGAATCTGAAGAAGAATAAAGTAAGCTTCGCCCTCCTACACACATTGATTTAAATTTTCCGTTCAGATATGTACAAATTTCCACAGGGTATCCATAGACTTGGCTGAAGGCCTTTAACCTTTCTGATGTGCTGATATTTGTTGAGCGAGATCTTGAACACCTTCCCCTTCATGCCCTTCTTCCTTTGCAAAAACCTGGCAGGTCCCACCTCCTTTCTCTGTGGCTCTGACTCTCAGGCAAAGCCTCCTTCAGGCAGGAGAGGAGCTGGCTCCACGGAAGGCCCAGAGCCCATGGGAAGCCCTCAGAAGGGAAAATGAACATGAATGACAGATATGGGCTAGGGGGGACTTTTACAAAATGGATGATGTTTTGGAAAAGGATAACCACCAACAGGACTTATTTCCTTTTTCTCTGAAGTATCTTTTTGAAAAGCAGCAGATGCATACTTGCCTTGGGATGGGAGAAACAGCTGAGAGTATTTGTTAGGTGGAAGGGGACAGCAGTCTAGGACTCCATGTGGTCATGAGATGATGCAACAGGGTCTTAGGTGAAAAGTGCTTGGACAATTCTGAAGTGGAGGGTGGAGGCTCTAGGAGACAGGCTGTGGGATTCCTGCTGCTATGGCGCCTGGAGGCTTAGGTGGTTTATTGGAAACATGTAACTAGCTTAAGTTAGGGAAACAGAGCAGACCAGAGGTAGTACTAAAGTTTTTTTTTTTTTTTTTTTAAGTGGGATTGGTGTTTGAATCAGGACTTTGCTCTTGCAAAGCTGATGCTCTACTGCTTGAGCCATGCCTCCAGTCCATTTTGCTTTGGTTATTTTGGAGATGTGGTCTTGTGAACTATTCACCTGGGCTGGCCTTGAACCTCGATCCTCCCTATCTCAGCCTCCTAATTATTTATAATTACAGGTGTGAGCCACCAGCACCTAGTAGTACTGAGGCTCTTTTGGCCACCACCCTCATCCCCTGCAGTGACACTGGCAGTATCCACCCAGGTCCCCTCAGTTCTGTAGGAGTTTCCACATGCTCCCCTCAACAAAGTTTCTTCACTTGCCCAAACTTTAGTCTGGCTCTGAACCATCTCTTAGGCTCATCCGTGTATTTCTTTATAAAACTGAGTTTTATCAAAAGGATCCCACTAAGTCTGTTTGACCGGAACCCCCATCTTTGATATCTGATCATCCTTGACATGTAATCAGGTTCCTCATCCTCCATCTTTCCCCAGGTGATGTCTGTGGTGGCTTCAGCAAGAATCTTGTGAGGTTGGCTATCCTGACCCCTCAAGTTTCCCTTCAGTAATTTCTAATTCACTGATCCTCCCCCCACTCCTTAGCTGTACATTCCCACTTTTCATACTATATTTTAGGAGTGAGCTCACGTATAGGCAGTGGTCCCTATACCTGTCACCATGGTCCTGAATAAAGTTTTCCTTCCTATACTTTACACATGCCACTGAATCATTTGTTGTCTTTAACATCTTCTCTGTCTCCATGCCTCAGGATGCATTTGTCAGCAACATCTCAAATCCCCACAGAGGACTGCCCTTGGACACATATGCCTGCATGCAGAGACTGAAGTGCAGGCTGGCTCTGGGAGGGCCAGTTCCTCTGCCATACCTAGGTCAGAGCAACTCTGAGTACAACCTACACTTCAGATCTTTTGCAGAATCAGGCTGGAGCTACTCTTTGTCTAAGATCATACCCTCACTCAGCTTCTTCCCTTTACCTTCCCTTCACCTTTCCTTGTCCAGCCTCTCCTGGGAGAGTCATTTGCATCAAATCTTCATCTTGGGGTCTGCTTCTGAGGAACCCTACCTAAGATCCATCCTGAGAATATGCTATGGTGGTGGTGGTGTGGTATGTGTGTGTGTCCTTGCACTCTTTGTGAAGAGCTATAACCTTATCAGCTTCTTCTCCGTACATATTCACCCTAGTCTGAGCACACCCATGTTCTCTTACGTTTTCTTCCAGTGAAGTCAGCTGCTCATCCAGTCTCACTTGATCTGTCCCAAGAGGAAATGTCCCCTTTTCTCTGTCACAAGGGGCAGGTGGGGACTCCCAGGGCTCTGCAGACTCTATCAACTCCTCTGTGGCATTGATGACTTTCAGGACTTCTGTGGAGATGTTGCAGAGAGAAACAGCAGAATACTTCTGTTTGGTTCATGACAGAAGGGGACAGAAGACAAGAACAGCACATTAACAATGACACAGAAATTCTACAGTATTATGGCACTCATCATGAGATTGAACCACATACAAACACGAATGTGCTGAAGGAATGAAATTTAAAAAACAAAACAACTACACAGTGGAAGGGAGCCTAGAGGTCTGATACAACTAGGCCTAGCTTGTGTGACCCACAATGAATTATTCCAGATTTACAGGGAGGGAGAGAAAGAGGAGAGGTTAAGTGAAGTCTGCCTTCTGCCTGCTGTTGATAGCTTAACATTTATAACTTCATTTGGTGGATGATCTTCTACTTCCCTAACCTAACTTCAGTCTCAACCTTGTCAACCTACATCTAAGTGTGGTCCACAGGGTGACTTTCTTGAGTAGGAGTTAGGAGACCTGGTCAGGCTCTAATTGTCTATGGGACATTAGCCAAATTACTTCTCATTTGTGGAATTCACTTTTGTCATCTGTACAATGAGGATCCTGGCAAAGAGTTCCTCTGTAGTCTCTTTATACTACTGGGGTTTGAACTCAGGGCCTCATGCTTGCTAAGTAGGCACTTTACTACTTGAGCCATCCCACCAAGTCTTCTGCAGTCTCTTGGTAGACTGCTAGTCCACTCAGTATTCCCAAGCCCATTCTCTCTGTATCCTCACAGGGGTAAACAGGAAAATTATCTACTAGCCTCCCTTGCCACTGGGGGTAGTCATATGACACAGCGCTGACCACTGAGCCTGAAGGGGAAGCCACTGAAGGGGCTTCTGGAAAAGCTTTTTTTTTTTTCCTAATCAGGAGAATAGATGGATAAGATTTCCTATCCCACACCCCACTTGTTTCTAGGCAGGTATAAGTCAACAAGAATCAGGACGAATGCCAGACAACTGGGTAAGGGGACAGAAAGACTTAAGGAACTGTGCACAGATTATCAGTGGATTAGCTAAACCTCTGGGAGTTACCCCCTGCCTCTGAACATCTTGTTAGTGGAAAAAGATGCTGATTTGTTGAAATTACTGTTGGCCAGTTTTTTTGTTTTGTTTTGTTTTTTTGTGTGTGACTGAACATACTCCTAGTTGACACAGGCCACCCCCAGCTTTTATATTTATGGCTTAAAATTATAATCAACCCAGATCTGGGCCAAGGTCATTAGTGGAGCAGAGGCATATCAGCCAAAGAATTATCTGTACCTTTGAATCCAGCTGAACAGATAACATCAAGCAATAATCAGATCAACGGCAGTCACTTTTCCATCTATAAACAGTTTGGCCTATTCCAGCACAGGGTTTGTACATTAGGAAACAACTATTGCACACAGGCACGTTTTACTTAGCCAGTAAAGTGTTTCAAGAGAATCTGGAACTTTAATGCCTTTGGTGGGCTATACCCAAAACAGTAATGATAGCTTTGGGTTGACTTTTGCAGTTTGTTTCCCCAAGTGGATGCTACTGCAGGTTTTGTCCCACTTCAGGAGTTTTTGGATAGCCCTCCTACTTCCCTAGAGAGTCTCAAGGGCTCAGTGATGAGTTAGTGCTGAATCCACTGCCTGGAAGATGCCTCTGGGCTGCCATGCTGAGGCACAGGGTCAACCTGTTCTGGTTAGAGCACATGTACCCATAGGGCTCCTGTCTAGCCTGTCTGTTCGATAACAGCTGTTAACCCAACAGTTGTGTTCCTTTTGGTTCAAGGGCCTTTGCAACATACCAGAAAAACTTGGGTGTCAGGTGAACAAGCTAGAGGGAAGGTGATGCAGACCATCGGAAGAAGGGCAGCATCCAAGGAAACAGGCAGAACCAGCTCTCTACCTTAGGAACACCCTGCAAAGGCTGCCCCCACTATCCAGGACTGGTAACTGGATGTGGCGGACTCTGGAGCTGAGTTGGGCTGGATTTTGGCTTCTATCAGCTGCCACTGTTCGCTTAAGTCCATTTTAGAAAAGTCATTATATTATAAAAGCAAATTTGCTACTCTTCTCTTAGTAAAAACATTAATTTAGAAGGTTTGCCCCTTAGTTCATAAACAAGGTACTTTTTGAAAAGAAAGACATATGACTAAAAGATTCAGAAAAAGAGTGAGACCATAGCATGGTGGGAGGGAAGTGTGAAAATTTACATAAATGTCTAAATAGTCCAGGGTCATTCATGGGCTGAGTTACTAATGGGAGACAGAGTGACCTGAATCCAGATCCAAACTGAGGGTATGGAGAGGACAGGCTGGGAATCAGCACTGCTTGGCAGTCACTGTCCCAGGCTGTCCATAAACAGCCTCGTTTATCTGGTCATAGTGCAAGCTGGAGGATACATATGGCTCAGAGGCATGCTTTATATGAGCTGCACACTTCCCAGCTATCCACAGTTCCCACCATTCATTCTACATACTTTATTGAGACCAGTGGTGTGTAGGCTGTGCTCCAAGCGCTGAGATAAGGCAATAAACAAGAGGGATGAAGTCTTTGCCCTTCTGGCTTGCCTTGAGCACCACTACAGCCACTTGACCCATACTGTCCTGGCCCCTGAAGGCATTTGCACTTGCCATTAAGTCAGTGTGTGGAGTTCCCCTGGTGGTTGTTGTGAGGAGAGTCCCACAGCTTCATCTAGAAGTCTGTAGTCTGGTTAAAGACTTGGACCACATCAGAAGTGAGCTGGCCTCCATTGAGGAAAGTGACCCAAAACTAGAGATCTCTGTTGGTAGATGTCCCAGTTTTGATCTTCACTGGCAAATGCAAACACAGTGTTCCACCTGTAGGAATCAGATGTTTCTTGTCTGTTGCCTAGGCATGGGCTGCTGGCTTGGAGCTGGGGTAGAGGAAGGTGCACCTCCTGAGGTTGAGATATAACTGGGCTTTGAGGAGCTGTACGACAGGAGCTGGGTACCTCACTGCGTGACCAGGGCACTCACTGGCCCAGGGAAACATCAGATTTCTTATAGGCTGATTTTGCCTGTTACATAAATGTCCTGCTCCCTATCCTGTCTAGAGGTAAGACTTCAAAGCACCTTCTACAACTCCATTACAAAAGCTATACTTAGCACTGGATAGGGTTTTGTTCAGATGAGAGGCTAGTGAGGATTAGGAGGAGGCTGGCAGGGAGCTTGCGATGCAGAAGTGAAAATCTGAGGGATACTTTCTGCCTCTTTTCTGCACAGCCCCAGCACAGCAAGCTGAATGGAATAGACAAAGCACGACTTGAGAGCCCGATCTACCCCATTATTATAGCATCATTATTACTTCAGGTATTAACTATGAGATGGAGCAAATGTGAATTTCATGGTGTCAAATAAGGGAGATGCAGATATGTGGAGAAAATCAGTTTTGGATTAGAAAGGCTGGCCTCAGACACTGTGACCCCAGGACCCACAGGTGATGGTGGAATGAAAATCGCTTGCAAACTCAGGTTACAAAATCCCACTGTCTAGTGATTGCAGAAATAGGAATTATACAACAAACTTATTATGTGCCACATACATGCACAGTTCTCTTTAAAGGTGCCAGGTGTGCCAGTGTGCCTTAGTGCAGGTAGAGCATGTACTCTGAGTAGCTGATACACTGGGGGATGTGTTTGCTCTGATGCCCCTGCACTCCTGGTATCCCCGTGAGGGATGGTAACTTTCGAGAGTCCAAGTGTCCACTTATAAGGTTTAAACTGCATCACAGCCCCATAAGGATGTCAGATCCATAAACTCAACAACCATGTGGTTGAAACAAAAAAATCCACACTCCACAGAGGTGATAAGAAGCACTTGGTGGGAAAACCCTTGACAGAGCACACTGGGCAGGGGGTTAGGAAGGGCAGGGGCTCTCACCCCTCTCAGCTGGGGGCAGAGGAGTCATCCACCCCAGTTGCTTATCAATTAGGTAGCAAAACAAGTGCCAACCTTATCAAGATTCCTGCTTCTAGTCTGACTCATAACTAATACTAGGACCAAAGCAGACCTTCAAGAACTATTTATTATTCAAGGTTGGGGCCCACCAGTGGCCATTTTAACGAACCCAGAAAAGAAGACCAAGTCAGGACCCATGTCACAAATCTCAGCTGTATCATTTCTTTTTTCTATAGAGACTGCAGGGCAGAGCAAGATGTTTCTACTTTTTGTCTCACAATCTACAAACTTCACCCTTAGAAATCTCTCCATCCTGTTCCCATGTGCTTTCTTTTTCTAGAAAGCATGCTGTTATAAAATTTTTCTTTCTCCATTTCCTTTTCCTTATAAGCTGATTCCTAAAACCATGCAGGATGCAAGGTGGGTTCCAAGGGGAAAATCTGAGCCCTTAGCATTGTAGAGGAGAAAATATTTTCATTCTTCACACTAGCTATATCTACTTATTAGCGATCTGTCTTCATTCTTTACAAAGCTTTGTGCTGGGTGAAGAAATGCAAACTCATTTCAAGCTGGAAAAAAATGGGAATGTTCCTTCCCAGAATATTTCAAGGTGGTGAACATGTGAGTAGCAGGGCCAAGTTCTAATCATCAGATGCCTGGCTTAACAAAAAGAGGTCATTTCAGAGCTAAAGATGACAGACCCCAGCCCAGCTCTCCCTTTGAGCAGAGCCTGCCTGTGTATGTCTTTCTCAACTGGGCTGACAAAGAGTCAGTATTAGGTTGTGTGTGTTAAGCAGGAGCTGATACCAGTCTAGGTGTCTAGTTATGTGACTTGATATAATATGGGACAAAAAGCATTGAGGATTAAGTGTGCCCAGGTATCTGGAGCAGATGAGGGGTTTTCCTAGCTCTGTCTTGGGGACTGTTCTAAAATCTGTAACAAGAGCAAAAAACAAAGCAGGGTAGATGCTGAAAGAACAATGACACTCAGACTTGGGGAGCAACAGAGGTGAGCATTCTCCTTTGGGGTCTATGGGTCAATCAAGGGACAGAGAGGGGCAGTAGCTAGGAGACTGACACTTCAGAGTCTTGCAAAGGGTATAGTAGGCGCCCAGCCTAGGACCCATCATTTTTCAGGGGCCTGTGAAAATGTTCTCTTTTCAAAT